AGGGGAGAATGTGGAGCTGAGTGGACTTGCCGATGACCGGTACCAGCGGTGTCAAGATCGGCCTCTGTGGAGGAGGCTCGTGAAGGACGCCACTGGGCAGTTGGAGGCAGTCGCACTCCAACAACAATGGAGGGCGGAGGAGCGACCCCCACAACAACGAGCTGAGCGCCGGGCGGATAAAATGCAGCAAGTCGGTCCAGTAGGGGGCACAGCTGATGCATCCGCCAGTCATTCATCTCATGGCAGGTGCCATGGGTTGACCGAGTTTCATCCATAAGGTTTTTTTTTGGGTTAGATCGCGGAAATATTAAATGTGTCGTTAAACCCATCACCACCCGACACGGCCAATTAGTAAGGATTGTCACGTAAACAAAACATGCCAATTGGTTACTAGTTCAGCACTAACCAGTCTGTTGGAGAATAAACCCACTACGACATTTACCATTCGAGTACGACGCTTCGCACCAGAATGGCTCACAAGTAATGACATCACATTTACCCCCCCTTGTCTATTTAAGACCGAAACAGGCCGAGGATCTCTCCACAGCCCTGTGGCTGTCCGCCTGATGATGCTGGTTGTAATTACCGGCGAAACGTAACGGTACTCAAATTGTAAATGTCGTGGTGGGTTCACTCTCCAACACGCATCGGTGTGCTGTGCTAGTCACGAATTGGCACGTTTTGTTCACGTGACAAGCGTTCACTGATTGGCTGTGTCGGGCGGTGGTGGAGAGTTTTCAACAGGTCCACGTGAATTATGTTTAACGGGGGGGGGGGGGGTGAGAACCAAGAGTGACGTGGGCGAATGAATGAACATGAGGTGGGTGAATGAGTGAGTGAGTGGACGAATGAGTAAGTGATGAGAGTGAATTAGTGGGTGGGCGAGTGAGTGGGTGGGTGGGTTTAGTGAGTTCAACATTTCAAAATTCCTTTGCTGAACCAACATGAGTAACTCACGAGACCTGGGCGAATGAATGAACATGAGTGGGTGAATGAGTAGAGATTAATGAGCAAGTGATGAGAGTGAACTAGTGGGTCGGTGAGTGAGTGGGTGGGGGTTTAGCGGGTGGTTTTTGCGGGTTACAATTTCAAGATTTGTTTAACCAGGCGAGCAACTCGGGAGACCGCGGATTATGGCCTCGCCACTCTGCAAGAGCGACTCGGGTCACCGGGAGGACAAAAGCATTGACGAGCGGCAGAGCACACGCCAGCTTGGCCGAAGTCAAACACCGCCGGGGCCTCGCCGCAAACACAACGGTGTGCACGCAGCGGAGACCACAACGCCGCCCGTGAAAAAACAGAACAAAAAACAACGGGGCCCCCAATTCAAGAGATACAATGGGGGGGGATGGGAGGGCTCGGAAAGGAGAGCGCTCAGGCACACGGGGGGAAGGGGGGCGGCCGACGTGCGGGCAAACCATCCGTCTCTCTCCGCCTGATGACGAGCGCTTTCTTGTTACGATCGAAACGTTCGTGAGTTGTTTTTTTATTTTTAACATTTTTTTTTTCAATTTAAATGTTTTTTGCATTTTTATTTTAACATTTCTACACCTACATGACTTTACAGAAAGAACCGGAGAATATGGAAACCATCGGTCGCGTGTGCGCCGCTTGTAGGCGGCCGCCGTCGTTGCGCGCGCCGCTAACGACCCCTCCCCTCCACCAACCCCACTCCATCCCCCCACTCCATCCCCCCCACCACGGCAACCGCGGCACGGAACGACGACGCTGAAAACAAAACAACAACAACAAAAACAAAACACAACAACAACAACAAAAACCCCGAGCGAGCGTCTCGGTTTTTTTCCCCGTCCACGACCCCCCCCCGCCTCCCCCCGGGGTCTAACGGCGGCGTCTTCAGCTGCGGGCGGAGCGGCGCTCTGTGACCCCCCCCCACCACCACCACCACCACCGCGAGATCCCGCGGCCCGCTGCTTGGGAGGCTCGCGGCGAGCTCCAAGGCCTCGCCCCCGCCCTGGGGCTCCCACGGCGCTGCCCCCGTTGGGCCTCGAGGCTCGCGGAGACCGCTCCCCCACCATGGCTACGTCGCAGCAACCGGCCCTCCGCCCCTCCTGCCCGATGTCGACGGCGGTGGTTCTCGACAAGTTTGTTGGCTGCGGCTGTTATACTCCCCCCCCCCCCACTTTGACGGCCGTCCTCGGGCATGCGGGGGGAGCGGTGGCTCGGCGGTTAGCGCCACGCCGCGCTACGAACACGGCGACCCGGCTTCGATTCCCCGCTCACGGCCGCCAACACCACCGGTGACGATTATCTGAACCCGTCCCGGGCCTCCCCCAGGTCGAACTCGGCCTCAAATGAGCATCCGGTGCGGTGTGTGAACATCGCCACTGGGGAGACAAAGGCGGCCGGGTCGTGGTGCCGGCCACCCACCCCCCTCGCGTGCCACGGTGCCGGCCTTCAAAAGGTGCTCGCTAACGGCACTTGCCCCAACAGTCTGTCAAGGCTGCACGGGGGATCTTCGCCTTTGTTGTAGCACAACGGCGCGGGCGATGCGTCGGCCAACTCTGAACAAAAGTCGCGGGAGAGTGAGAAAAGAGGGAGGGGAGAGTACGGCGCGGCGTGAACGCTCGTTGGTTGCCCGCTAGCGCCTTGATGGATACGAGGGTCACGGATCTCGGTGCGCCACGGTGGCTAGGAGATGTTGACGACCTCGCCCGGTGCACAGGAGGTCGTGGGTTCGATTCCGACCCTGACGCCTGCTGTATTAGTGGAGTTTGCGGTGTCTCTCTCTCTCATCATCATCACGGTGGCTAGGAGATGTTGACGACCTCGCTTGGTATACAGGAGGTCGTGGGTTCAATCCCGACCCTGACGCCTGCTGCTGCTGCTGTGTATTTGGAGTGCGCGTGTCTCTCTCTGCCCCGTGGTCATGTGGATTTTACTCCGGGCCCTCCGTTTTTCCCCCTCCACGTTTAGAATCGACTCCCCCACGGTTGTGCGTCCAGAGCACTTGGCTGCTGTACATTTCCACGCGATAAGGAATCCCGTGCAGCTATCGTTTGTGATAGCCTCGTCGCTTCTGAGAAAAGAGCTATGCAGCTCTCCGCAAACACACAGCGAGACACACGCACACGCAAACGAGACACAGAAACAGGGGGATTATGGGTAAAAGACACTGACGCCACCGCCACCGTCGCAATCACCGCACCTCACTGCCAACGCTTCCACCCATCCCTCCGGCAGATGCCGCAGCATCTGGACATCCGGCGCCGAAAGAGCTTCGTAAAGCCGCATCGGATTCGTCCGATATAAATAGATACTCCGATTCTGATTCCGGTCTGCCGCCACCGCTGCGCGCTCGGTGAACGCGACCTTCCCAAGGCAAGCAAAAAAAGCACGCGTGGCAAACAACGACAGCAAGAACAAGAACATTCGAAATCTCCGAACAAGTGATCGGTCCATCGGAGCAAGCAGCAAGCAAAAACAAAGCGACACCGCCATCGTGTTGCGACGGTGCCGCACATCGCAGGGATCACCGCGCCCACCCACAGCCCCCCCCCCCCACCACCACCCATCTCCTCGGCTCGTAGAGTCGTAGTGCTGCCTCTCGGCGACCAAACCTGCAATAAAGCGTCGAGCACGCGTCCAGGAGAAACACTTCGGGGCTCGGCGTTTTTGCCTTCAACGCCCTACAAAGGTCGCACGTCACCATCCGGGGCGCGCTCGTAGCATATTAAAAATAATAATAACACGCACGTAGATATATTTTATATATATATAACGGTGATAACGGTGGTGGGTTCAACGTAGGACGGGCACGGGTAGGACGGTCAAAATGGGGCGGTGGTGGCGGTGGTGGTGGTGGTGGTTGGGGTGGGGAAATTAACGACGGCAGTCTAGCCGCTGCCACCGTGGCACTTTCCCACACACAAGGTGCCCTCTGGATTAAATTATTAATAATAATAGGAGGAGGATGGTGAAAAGGACGAGGAGGGGGGGGGGGGAGAGGGGCTTAGGAAGATGAGGAGGACGGAGGAGGAGGATGGAGGAGCACTGGACCTCACCGCTGCACCGTGCCAAGTGCTCGCATCGCTCAGCACAACTCCGGCGGGGGTTCGGGTCGTGCCCAACGTTTCGCTCCGCGTGTCGGACGGCATGGGGGGGGGGGGGAGGAGGGTGGTGGTGCGGAACGTCGGGACGTCGTGGTTATTGCCGCAGGGCACGCGGTGCGCGAAACACTTTCCTCCACGCGAGGACGTCGTCAAGCGAGCACTCAAATTCGATCGCTCCATCTCGCACCTGATTGGCTCACGAGTGACGACATCACATTAAGAGCGAAACAGGAGGAGGATTTCTCCACAAATCTGGCTGTCGCCTGATGATGCCGGTTGCAATTGCTGCCAAAAACGTCGTACCCAGATTGCAAATGTTGTGGCTCTGCTCTCCGACACACCGGCGTGCTGTACCAGCAACGAATTGGCCACGCTCTGTGTACGTGACAAACCTCACTCGTTGGCTGTGTCGGGTGGTGGTAGGCGGGTTAAAAGGACAAGCCCTCGTGTGCTTCATTTTAATTTCGTTTAGAATCATCGAGGACCCGCGAGTGGACGGAGATCGTCGAGCGGCACGGCGACTTGCGACCACCCGCTACAAACACTCCAAAGCGTGACGGACCGTGACCTGGCCACAGGTGACCTGGCCACGGTCCGTGACCTGTGGCGGCCTGGCCACAAATGGACAGCGCGACGAAGAAGTGGCTCAGCGCGTGGTAATTTATCCCACGTCGATTCGAAATGCGCAGGGGAAAAAAGCGGAGGAGCCGGAGGAAAAACCCACGCGACCGCAACGGGGGGGGGGGGGGGGGGGGGTGGGGGAGAAAGACACGCAAACTTCAAAACGTACGGCGGGCATCGTCAGGCTCCGGGATCGAACCCACGACCTCCTGTATAGCGGGCGAGCGCAGGGAGGCGGTTGCCGTGCGAGCGTGTCCCGAGACGTCCGCCACGGCGGGCGGTGGCGGAACGCGAAAACCCACGCACCGACATCGGCCGCCACCATCGTGGACTGGTTCTCGGGCAGCGACGGCGTCTCCTCCTGCTCCAGGCTCTGCGAGTCGTCCAGGCCGTCCCCCTGGCTCGCGCTGAGCTCCGACTCCTGCTCCAGATACTCATCCTCCTCGCTGGCGTGAGGTGGGGTGGGGGGGGCAGGGAAAGAAGGGGAGGGGACGGACCGCACGCGGAGGGGGACAGCGCGTCAGCGACGTGGAAGGGGAATTATGGCGGCGCAGAGCGGCGCTTGTTCTGCTGCTGTGGACCCCCGCCGAAGATGACGACGCCGCAGCAGATTTGTTACCCCCCCCCTGCCAGGTCCCGCGGGAGGCTCGCGGCGAGCTCCCAAGCCTCGTCCCCACCCTCTGGCTCCCACGGCGTTGCCCCCGTTGGGCCTCGAGGCTCGCGGAGACCGCATCCCGATGGCTGTGTCGCAGCAACCGGCCCTCCGCCCTCCTGCCCGATATCTACGGCGGTGGTTCTCGACAAGTTTGTTGGCTGCGACAGTTACAACCCCAACCCAACTTGTTGAATTTTGTTTCAACCCAAGATACGACCCACCTTGCCCGACCCCCAACATGGTTCTGAGAAATTAAAGGGACGAATAATGAACGTCAATATCTTAACCAACTGTCCATTTTGTGAGGTATATAACGTAACTAGCTAAGCAACGGACGCTCTGCACGCGTGACGGAATTAGTCAGCGCGCTCTGGTTACTCTTGGAAACCACATCGTCTATGATCAGCGAGTTCAGAAAGGTCTTTCACATCGTCCTAGTTTGCCCTGTGGATGTAAATGTAATCATTGTTAATTTATATTGGCAGATTCACACGTGATTATTCGCCTAACTACTCTCATGCATTATATAATTTCACATTTTTATACGTCACCTCATGTACCCCCTATTGGGACACTGCCACGTACCCCCCCCACTCCACCCCCCCAGGGTGTCCGCGTACCCCCGTTAGAGAACCACTCGTGTGGATGATTAACCTCAAGCGCGAGTCCGTTGCGCGCGTCGTACGAGCGGCACCGCTCGTACGACAAGCGCATCTCTACGTCGAACTCGGCTCACGCCTCCCGCAAGTCACGTGACCTACCGCAAGTCACGTGACCTCCCGTAAATCACGTAAGCTCCCGTAAAATCACGTGACCTCCTGCAAGTCAAGTGACCTCCTGCAAGTAAAGTGACCTCCCGTAAAATCACGTAACCTCCCGTAAAATCACGTGACCTCCCGTAAATGACGCGACCTCCCGTAAATCACGTGACCTCCTGTAAATCACGTGACCTGTAAGTCAAGTGACCTGTAAATCACGTGACCTCCCTTAAAATCACGTGACCTCCCGCAAATCACGTGACCTCCCGCAAATCACTTGACCTCCCGTAAAATCACGTGACCATCGCTCTAAATCCCTCTCCCCGCCCCCCTGTGAAAACACAAACACACACACCCACACCGTGCAGCTCGCTCCTTCCTTCTCTCTTCTCCGTCTCTTCCCTCCCCTCTCATCACAATTACCATCCCTCTCATCACAATTACCATCCCTCTCATCACAATTACCATCCCTCTCATCCCCGACATCTTGGCTGCCCCCCCTCCTCCTCCCCCTCCCCACCTCCTCATCCCCCCCTCCTCTGATCCTACTCCTCCTGCCTCTCCCTCTCTTCCAGCCCCCCCCCCCCCCTCGTCCGCTGCCCTGTTGCGCAACCGACTCCACTCCCCTTCCCGTCGTCGTGAGCCACGGGTTAAAGGTTTAACGCAACAGCAGTGACCTCACCGTGACTAAAGATAAGTGGGCAACTGCAGAGGTCGGCCGTGGCATAATCAAACACTGGGCGCCACAATGGTGAGATGTTAACTACCTCGCCTGGTGTGCAGGAGATCGTGGGTGAGATCCCGACCCTGACACTGGAGTTTGTGTGTCTATATCCGTGGTCGCGTGGATTTTTCCCCCTCCACATTTAGAATCGCGCGTTAAGAGTATTTGGCCGCTATAATTTTCCCCGCTTCGTTGAGCTATAATTTGTGATGGCCAGGTCGCTTCTGGAAAATAGAGCCACACAGGTGGGGCCTTACTTGGTGAATATTAAAAAAAATTAGTTTAAATAGTCTAGCAATAATGCCACGCGCACAACCCCCACACGCAAATTCGCCCCCTGCACCACTCGAGCAAAATGACACACCGCCGCCCCGCCAATGGCGACCGTCCCTCGTTCACTCCGACAAAAGCGTCGCAGAGTCGGCCGGGGCTTGTCCTGCCGTCAAGCGTTTCACCGGCGGCGTTTCGTACGGCAGCGCCCCGTGTCGGTCGACGCCGATGACAACCCCGTCGCCGGCACACGCACGGGGTTAGAGGCGCGGCCCTGCAACTGCTCGCTCACACCGCCGCTGGCGGAAGGGCCTCCACTCTTTGAGAGTCCGTCAAAGAGGTCACAACCCTTGGCCCTCATCTGGCCAGATGTCAACATCGAACTATGACGAACTATTGTTTGATGTCTTAGCCAGGCAGGCAAGGGCACACTGAGCTATGAAGCAATTTTTTTCAGGAGCGACCTGGCCATCGCAAACGATAGCTCAACCAAGTTGCTCATCGTCATCACGTGGAAAGATTGATAGCGGCCAAATGACTCTAAATGCGTGACGTTGATTTTAAAGGTGGGGGGGGGGGGAGAGAATCGGAAGACCCGGACAAAAATCAACGCGACCACCACGGCGAGAGAGACACGCAAACGCCAGACACACAGCAGGCGTCGACGGGGTCGGGATCGAACCCACGACCTCCTGCATACCAGGCGAGGTGGTTAACATCTCCTAGCCACCGTGGCACGCCCCAAGAGGCGCGAGCACCCGCACGCCGCCCGCCGACTGACTACGGCAAAGGAGGAGACGGTGTTGCGTTAAGCGGCGCACGGCCGTGGGCTGCGCCGCCAATTAAAGGCGACCGGGCAGGATGCGATGTCCGCAGCCTCCTGCACCCCTCCCTCTGCTCCCCCCTCCCCCCAGAGAGGGGCCTCCTGGCTCGCTGGGGAGCCTCCGGTGCCAAGTCGAACGCCGGGAGAGAAGGCGCGGCGTCAACGGCGAACGGGGGGGGGGGGGGGGTGCTTGTTAAGAAACGGCGATAAATTTTCTCAATTAGTGAATGCGATTTTTATTTTCTTACGTTTACGTTTTTGAGCAGCAGCGTTGAAGCGGACGCCACAGCGCTACTTCTCATCACAATCTCCCCCTCTCGTCAAATCTCCCCCTCTCATCAAATCTCCCCCTCTCATCAAAATCTCCCCCTCTCATCAAAATCTCCCCCTCTCATCAAAATCTCCCCCTCTCATCAAATCTCCCCCTCTCATCAAATCTCCCCCTCTCATCAAAATCTCCCCCTCTCATCAAAACCTCCCCCTCTCATCAAATCTCCCCCTCTCATCAAAATCTTCCCCTCTCATCAAAACCTCCCCCTCTCATCAAATCTCCCCCCTCTCATCAAAATCTCCCCCTCTCATCAAAATCTCCCCCTCTCATCAAAACCTCCCCCCTCTCATCAAATCTCCCCCTCTCATCAAAACCTCCCCCTCTCATCAAATCTCCCCCCTCTCATCAAATCTCCCCCCTCTCATCAAAATCTCCCCCTCTCATCAAAATCTCCCCCTCTCATCAAAACCTCCCCCCTCTCATCAAATCTCCCTCTCTCATCAAAACCTCCCCCTCTCATCAAAACCTCCCCCTCTCATCAAATCTCCCCCCTCTCATCAAATCTCCCCCTCTCATCAAATCTCCCCCTCTCATCAAATCTCCCACTCTCATCAAATCTCCCCCTCTCATCAAATCTCCCCCCCTCATCAAATATCCCCCTCTCATCAAAACCTCCCCCTCTCATCAAAACCTCCCCTCTCATCAAATCTCCCCCTGTCATCAAATCTCCCCCTCTCATCAAATCTCCCCCCTCTCATCAAAATCTCCCCCTCTCATCAAATCTCCCCCTCTCATCAAATCTCCCCCTCTCATCAAAACCTCCCCCTCTCATCAAATCTCCCCCTCTCATCAAAATCTCCCCCTCTCATCAAATCTCCCCCTCTCATCAAACCTCCCCCTCTCATCAAATCTCCCACTCTCATCAAATCTCCCCCTCTCATCAAATCTCCCCCTCTCATCAAATCTCCCCCTCTCATCAAATCTCCCCCTCTCATCAAAATCCCCCCTCTCATCAAATCCCACCCCTCTCATCAAATCCCCCCCTCTCATCAAAATCCCCCCCAGCACGGACGTGTGTGTACGCACGCTACGATCAACGTCTTTCGCACCGTACGCAGCCGACCGTGGCTAATCGGAGGTGCTAAGCGACCGCACCTCACAACCTGCACAGTTCCGCGCAGTACAGGGAGACGTCGTTAATTCGGGAGGCCCCCCGTTTCCCTCCCTGCCTCCCTCTCACCGAATGGTTGATCCCTGCAGCCGGTCGATCTTCTTGTTGAGCTCGGCGATGACGCTGTGCAGCTCGGTGATGCGCTCCTCGTAGCGGAGGGACGCCTTCTCCCGCAGCTCCTCGTTCTCCCGCATGAGGCAGGCGGTCTCGCGCTGCGCACGCACACAACAAACACGAAGATCCCCCGTGGAGCCTTAACAGACTGTTGGGGCAAGCGCCGTTAGCGAGCGCCTACGAAGGCCGGCACGGCACACGAGGGGGTGGGTGGCCAGCGTCGCGCCCGGCCGCCTTTGTCTCCCCAGTGGCGATGTTTATTACACACCGCACCAGATACTCATTTGAGGCCGAGTCGACCAAGGGGAGGCCCTGGACCGGTTCAGATAATCGTCACGGGTGTTGGCCGTGAGCGGGAATCGAACCCGGGTCGCCGGGTTCACAGCGCAGCGCAGCGCTAACCGCTGCACCACCGCTCCCCACAGACGGGCACACACAGAGACACAGGACAAAGCTCCGCCATTCACCCTTTCGAATTGTTGATGCCGTTGGCGAGCATCACGGGACAGCTGTGAAAATAACAAAGCACGCCACGGCTACGGAACCCTCTCTCGTCGCTTCACAGCCGGACGAGCGGCCTCCCGACGGCCGCGTTGATCATCGAAGTTGTTTGTCCGACCCAAATTCGCCACGCTGGTCAGCGCGCGGGAGAGGGCAAAGGGGATGGGAGAGCAGTCTGGAGTGGAACCGAACTCATGTTCACGTTAGCAGTGCGCTAACCGCTGCGCCGCCGCTCCCCCCGGCACCACCACCTCCAGCATAGGGGGGGGCGAGGGCGTCGATAGCGCAACGCAACTCGGATGTGCAAAGGGGCCGTCCATAAATGACGTCACGCGATTTTGGACGATTTTTGACCCCCCTCCCTCTTGTTAACACGGGGTCACAAAAAGTCAGACCCCCCCCCTCCCTCAAATATGACGTCACAAAGCTCTGCCCCCTCCCCCCAAAAAGAAAACATGCTTCAAATCGCTTTAAACTATTGTGTCATTGTAGTGCGTATTTAATGTGGCGCTGCACTCTGATGTTGTAGGAGAAAACATTTAGTTAAAAGTCTAAGTAAGTAGAACGTGTTGTTTATATTTCTTCAAAGTTGCGCATTTTGATGTGACGTCACATTTCTCACCCCCCCCCGCTCCTCGTCACACATCGTCACAAATGTCTGACCCGCCCCCCGGTGCATGACGTCGCGTCTCGAAGGAGCGCGGACGCCTCAACCGTGACGCGAGCCGCGTGGAGCGGTGACTTCAGGCTGGGCCCACGTAGGGGAGGGCCCAGGGCACATGGCTGAGACCACGTGGCGAGTCCGGTGTCAACGCGCGGCGTGGCCGGGATTCGAATTGTGGGGTGGGAGGGGAGGGGAGGGGGGCAAGGAAGGGTGGCGGTGGTGGGGGGGGGGAGATAGCTGGGGTCACACAGCGGCCTGTGAACTTCTACCACATCAATATAGACACGCACACGCACATACACGCACACATGCGCACACACACACGTGCACACATAAACACGCACACGCGTACACACACACGCACACACAAACACGCACGCACACACGCGCACACGCACGCATACCCACAAACGCACACACACTTACGCACACACACGCTTACGCACGCACACACGCTTACGCACGCACACACACACACACGCACACACACACGCACACACACACACGCGCACACACGCACACGACCAATGTAAATGAAGGCCAGCGCGGTGCACAATTTGGCCAATCGTCATGCCTGGCCGTCTTTGTCTCCCCAGTGCCGACTACGTTTGTTTACTGCACACCGCGCCAGGTGCTCATTTGAGGCTGAGTCGACCTAGGGGAGGCCCAGGATCGGTTCAGATAATCGTCACCGGTGTTGGTGGCCATGAGCGGGAATCGAACTCGCCAATCTGCTGGGTTCGTAGCGCAGCACGCTGACCGCTGCACCACCGCTCCCACACTCGACAATTCACACACACTGGCACACAACAAAGATAAAAGATCCCCCCTGTAGCCTGTAACAGACTGCAGGGGCAAGTGCTGTTAGCGAGCACCTATGAAGGCCGGAACGGTACACGAGGGGGTGGGTGGCAAGCACCACGCCCGACCGCCTTTGTCTCCCCAGTGGCAATGTTTTTATCCACCGCACCAGGTACTCATTTGAGGCTGAGTCGACCTAGTGGCAGTACACACACAGTGACACATAAACACGTGTGTGTGTGTGGAACCCGCCACGCACGTGTGCGCACCACGAGGAATTAGAGGCATTGCCGGAAAGGCAAAACGAGGATCACGTGGTGCTGCTGCTGCTGCCCGAAATTAATCAGCAGCAGATGGGCGGTGCAACGTCACGGCAGTAACGAAGAGGGGAGGGGGGGCAGCCGCAGAGGCACCGTTTGTTTGATAATTAGCGATGCGTGAGGCTCGTTAGGGCAGGACAGAGGCAGCGCGCCAACGCGCGCGGAACTACACGCGCGCGCGGACAGAGGGCGAGCGCAGGGGGAGCGGAGAGAGTGGACAGAGAGAGAGTGGACAGAGTGGACAGAGAAAGAGAGAGAGTGGACAGAGTGGACAGAGAGAGAGAGAGCGGAGAGAGAGCAGAGAGAGTGGACAGAGAGAGAGAGAGAGCGGAGAGAGAGAGCAGAGAGAGTGGACAGAGAGAGAGCGGAGAGAGAGAGCGGAGAGAGAGAGAGAGAGCGGAGAGAGAGTGGAGAGAGTGGACAGAGAGAGAGAGAGAGAGCGGAGAGAGAGCGGAGAGAGAGAAAGAGAGCGGAGAGAGAGCGGAGAGAGTGGACAGAGAGAGAGTGGAGAAAGTGGACAGAGAGAAAGAGAGCGGAGAGAGAGCGGAGAGAGAGAAAGAGAGCGGAGAGCTCTGCGTGCAGATCTGAGCTACCCGTCGGAGGCCGTTTGACTGTGGGAAGGGCTGCGTGCAGATGCAGCACTTGTCGTAGTTAAAAAAAAGAGCGAGCGAGAGCGACATGGAGTAGGAAGAGAGGGGTTAGAGAGGGGGGGGGCAGAGAGGGGGGTAGAGAGAGGGCAGGGGTAAGGAGAGCAGAACGAGAAATCTTTTGTTAAATCTTTCATTTAATATGGGGGGGGGGGGTGGTTTACATAAAGCAAAGCAATAAAAAAACACGAAATGATGAACGAAGCAAAGTGCCGACTACACCGAGCATCTTCTTGTTTCCTCTGATCGTAACAAAAAAAAGAGCGGAGAGAGAGAGTGGAGAGAGAGTGGACAGAGAGAGCGAGCGGAGAGAGTGGAGAGAGAGTGGACAGAGAGAGCGAGCGGAGAGAGAGTGGCGAGAGAGTGGAGAGAGAGAGAGAGCGGAGAGAGTGGAGAGAGAGTGGAGAGAGAGTGGACAGAGAGAGCGAGCGGAGAGAGAGTGGCGAGAGAGTGGCGAGAGAGTGGACAGAGAGAGAGAGAGTGGAGAGAGAGTGGAGAGAGAGAGAGCGAGCGGAGAGAGAGGAGAGAGAGTGGCGAGAGAGTGGAGAGAGAGTGGACAGAGAGAGCGAGCGGAGAGAGGGTGGCGAGAGAGTGGAGAGAGAGTGGACAGAGAGAGAGAGTGGAGAGAGAGTGGCGAGAGAGTGGAGAGAGAGAGCGAGCGGAGAGAGTGGAGAGAGAGTGGAGAGAGTGGACAGAGAAAGCGAGCGGAGAGAGAGTGGAGAGAGAGCGGAGAGAGAGCGGAGAGAGCGGAGAGAGTGGAGAGAGTGGAGAGAGAGTGGAGAGAGCGGAGAGAGAGTGGAGAGAGAGCGGAGAGAGAGTGGAGAGAGAGCGGAGAGCGGAGAGAGAGAGTGGAGAGAGCGTGGAGAGAGAGCGAGCGGAGAGAGCGAGGGAATGGAGAGCGAGCGGCGAGCGAGAGCAGATTTCGGGCCGGCTCGATCGTTTCGCCTCCCCCCCGAGGGCGTTCTCCTCACCGATGCTCGCTCGACTCTGAACCCCCCACCCCTCGCCCCCACCCCCGTTTCCTCCGAAACGTCACGAAACTATTCCCAGCCGCCCCCCCCACAACCGCCCTCCCCCCCCGCCCCCACTTCTCCAAAACGGTATCTGATTGCTTCCAAAACACTCCACACATCCCGACACGATGCATTATTCAGAAGACCTCTCCTCTCGTTTTTTTTCAAATCCCCCCTCACCCACCCACACCTCCTCTGTTCAAGCCGCGGGGCCGCACCGCGCCTGGCTGCGCGCCGGCTACGACGCTGGCGCGCGCGAACACGGCACGGCACGGCTCAGCACGGCACGGCTCAGCACGGCACGACACGGCACGACACGGCACGGCACGACACGGCACGGCTCGGCACGGCACGGCTCGGCACGGCTCAGCACGGCTCAGCACGGCACGACACGGCACGGCTCGGCACGACACGGCACGACACGGCACGGTTCGGCACGGCACGGCTCGGCTCGGCACGGCACGGCTCAGCACGGCTCAGCACGGCACGACACGGCACGGCTCAGCACGACACGGCTCGGCACGGCACGGCACGGCACGGCTCAGCACGGCACGGCACGTTGGAGAGGAATCACGAGGACGTTGCCCGGGCGACATCGCGTGGGTCCGTGTGACTTGCGCCACCACCGCCACCACCACCGCCACCACCACCGCCACCACCACCGCCACCACCACCGCCACCACCACCGCCACCACCACCCACCCCGCGGGCTCACTCGTCCGCAAACACCGCGGTCGGGTGCGCACGGGGTGCGTGAGATGCTCGACACACGCACCAACAAGCGGCCACGTGACTTAAAGCTTTCGTGACTGCAGGAATTCACATTCTTGGGTCTTTTGGTCAAGTCAAGTAGATAGGTTGAAATAAAATGTTACTTTTCGTTATTTTCTTACAAACCTATCGACGTGACTTTACCGAAAGACCCAAGAATATAAATGGCCACGCGATTTGTCCAAGCATCGCGCCCAGTGTAAACTGTCACATGTTAACAATGTTTAAGAATAATAATAATGCTGATGTCAACCCGTGACTCTCTCCGCTATCGCCGCGGCGTGTTCGCTCCTCGCTGCCGAAGCGAGCGAGAGGACGACTCCGGGGTGCGAGGAGGAACCACGGAGACGCGTGGGTGGGTGGGGGGGGGGGGGTGGGGGG